TGTATGACATTCTAGCATCGATCTCATTTGCGATGGGCAATATGGATAAGGCTGAACATCTTTTGGTTAGCGCCATTGAGAAATTAGTACAAATAGGAACTTCCGATAACGATAATCAGCTGGTGGATTTCCAACTGCGTCTAGCTCGCATCGATAGTGCATATGAAAACAACGACATGGCTGAGATCGGTTTCAGGGATTGTCTGAATAAGCAGAAAAGCAAGATTTTGGGCGGCGATACATCAACTAAAACTGGAATGCTATATGTTAACGTGCTCTTCTGGTACGGCCTGCATAAAATTCGCTCCAATGAGCATAAAAATGCCAAAGAACTTATTACATCGGCCTACGACTACTCACAGAAAATCAAAGGCCTCAGTCCCTATGAAGAAATGGTCATTCTCTACACACTGGCCGACCTGCACATGCAACTTGGTCAGAACAACTTAGCCCTGGAAAACATCAACAGCGCAATATTGCTGTGCAAAAGTATTGGAAGTACAGATATGCCCAGATGCTACTTGAAGTTGGCACAAATTTACGTGAATCTGGAAATTTGGCCTAATGCTAGAAAATGTTGTGAAGAAGCCATTAAAATGGCATCGCTCTTTCAGGATTCAGCCGTCATGGGTGAAGCTGAGTTTGTGCTGCAGAAAATTGAGAAGCGCCAGAGAAAGGATGAATAAAAACTTAATAATTGTTATCGCTAATATTATTACTTTTGAGTAGTTTGGCTGCATTTTTCAAATATTTGCAACAGGACTAGTGTTGGACACTCATGCCTGAGCAAATATTCGTTCAAGCAAATGAGCCTTAAAAAAAACCCTACCGACAAGGATTTAAAATCGCGTTTTAATTTAACCCCATCTTTTGACTGTGAATATTTTCTCAGACGGTAATGAACATTTTTTTTAATGGAATCATAGCATCTTGGACAAAATGTACACTACCAGATCGGCAAAAAATGTAAACGCACGTTGCACAGGGTGTTTAAACACTGTCATGTTTTCTTGGTCAATGTTTAAATTTGCCTGCGGTCAACATGGGGTAGTTTAAACAAAAAAAAATGGTGTGCGTCACGGGACGCTCGACAGCACGTCCGTCGAGCGTCCCGAAATTTAAAAAATGTAATCATAAAGAAATCAAAGGGTATATGAAGGGAAAAAATCCACTTTGATTCGTGGTAAACACAATTAATCATAGAAATAATATAGAGAATTGAAAATAAGCCCTAATAAATTTGTTTTACATATTTTGCAACTATAAGCTGAAGGGAGATTCATATCATCTTAACATCAAGAATGCGTTGCGTGAAAGAAAATAAGAAGACGGAACCCATGTTTTCTGAAATATATCTCTTAGTGCGGTTTGTTTCTTCAGCAAAATTATTTTTCAAGGCTTGCCCTTGGATGTGACACGTGGTCTTAACCAAAAAATGATGTAAAAAAGAAACCGAATTGGTCTTAGAAAAACAGACGTTCGATAACAATTTCGTCGTGTGCATTTAAACGATACTGTTTTTCACGTATAATGGCAAGGTTTAATCTCGGACTAGAAAAAACTCACAAAAACTAAACCATATACTTTCAAACTGTCTCTGAGAGAAAATGGCAACAAAACCCCGATTTGGCAAATGTGCAACATTTTTCAAGATGCAACTGACAGCGTGGACGTCGTGGTGTCTTTTTCTTATTTTATGGTAAAGTAGTGAATTTCCATGAGGAAAAAGTGGTAGAAAACTGCATTTCCGGGCAAAGAGATTTTCTATAAAGTAAGCACGCAAGATGCACCATTTCTTACCTAATTTTTGGATTTTTTTCGACCAGTAGTGCGGTTTTTGT